CACAACAACAAACACACACACACAACAACACAACAAACACACAACAAACACACAACAAACACACAACAACACACACACACAACAAACACACAATAAACACACAACAAACACACAATAAACACACAACAAACACACACAACAAACACACAAAAAACACACAATAAACACACACACAACAAACACACAAAACACACACACAAACACACAACAAACACACAACAAACACACAATAAACACACAACAAACGCACACACAAACACACAAAAACACATAAACACACAACACAACACACAATAACACAACAACACACACACACACAAACACACAATAAACACACAACACACACACAATAAACACACACACACACACACACAAACACACAACACACACACAACACAACAAAACACACAACACACACAAACAAACACACACACAACAAACACACAACAAACACACAACAAACACACAACAAACGCACAACAAACACACAACAAACACACAACAAACGCACAACAAACACACAACAAACGCACAACAAACACACAACAAACACACAACAAACACACAACCAACACACAACAAACACACAACAAACACACAACAAACGCACAACAAACACACAACAACACACAACAAACACAACAAACACACACCAACACACAACAAACACACAACAAACACACAACAAACACACAACAAACGCACAACAAACACACAACAAACACACAACAAACACACAACAAACACACAACAAACGCACAACAAACACACACAAACACACAACACACACAACAACACACAACAAACACACAACAAACGCACAACAAACACACAACAAACACACAACAAACGCACAACAAACACACAACAAACGCACAACAAACACACAACAAACACACAACAAACACACACAACAAACACACAACACACACACAACAAACACAACAACAAACACACAACAAACACACAACAAACGCACAACAAACACACAACAAACACACAACAAACACACAACAAACACACAACACAACACACAACAAACACACAACACACACACAACAAACACACAACACACACACAACAAACACACAACAAACACAACAAACACACACAAACACACACAAACACACAACACACACACAACAAACACACAACAAACACAACAAACACACAACAAACACACAACAAAACACACAATAACACACACAACAACACACAAACACACAACACACACAAAACACACATAACACACACAACAAACACACAACAAACACACAATAAAACACAACAAAAACACAACAAACACACACAAACACACAAACACACAATAAAAACACACAAACACACAACACACACACAACAAACACACAACAAACACACAATAAACACACAACAAACACACAACAAACACACAATAAACACACAACAAACACACAATAAACACACAACAAACACACAATAAACACACAACAAACACACAACAAACACACAACACACACACAACAAACACACAACAAACACACAATAAACACACAACAAACACACAACAAAACACAACACACACACACACACACAATAAACACACAACAAACACACAATAAACACACAACAAACGCACAACAAACACACAAAAAACACACAACAACAACACAACAAACACACAACAAACACACAACAACACACAACACACACAATAAACAACACAAAAAACACACAACCAACACACAACAAACACACAATAAACACAATAAAACACACAACAAACACACAAAACACACAATAACACACACATAAACACACAACAAAAACACAACAAACACAACAAAACACACAACACAAACACACAATAACACACACAACAAAACAAACACACAACAAACACACAACAACACACAACAAACACACAACAACACACAACAAACACACAACAAACACACACAACAAACACACAACAAACACACAACAACAACACAAACAACAAACACAACACACAACAAACACACAAAACAAACACAAACACACAACACACATAAACACACAACAACAACACACACAAACACAAAACACACAACAAACACACAACAAACACACAACAAAACACACACACACACAACAACACACAACAACACAAACAACAAACACACACAACAAAAACACACACACAAACACACAACAAACACACAACAAACACACAACACAACAAACACACAACAAACACAACAACAAACACACAAAAACACACACACACAACAACACACACAAACACACAACAAACACACAAACACACAACAAACACACAAAAACACACAACAAACACACAACACACAAAACACACAACAAACACACAACAAACACACAACAAACACAACAACAAACACACAACAACACACACACAAACACACAACAAACACACAACAAACACACAACAAACACACAACACACACAACAAACAACAAACACACAACCAACACACAACAAACACAACAAACGCACAACAACA